TTCTCAAAAGATTCCTTATAAAGCCTTCTTTCACGTGCATTATTCGATTGTAACCATGTAGCATAGTCTCCAAGCAAGTTCTGTATGCAGTAACATATCATAAATCAAGTCATTAAAAAAAAGTAACCCATACAGCTATAAAAAGTCTGCACCTATAACCGACACTTGAAATAGATGCTCGATTTTCACATGACGTAGATCATGAAGTGGTCTAAGCCATTAACTCACTTGTGCATCAGCAAGTGCAGGACCAAGTATGTCATTCTGAACTCTTAAAGTGGCTGGCAGTGTGGCAGACGAATCCTCAAGTAAAAATGAGGCAACGATATCTAGATTTGATAACTGTAAGGTAGATTCTATGAGCTTCAGAGCACGAGATTTTGTAGCATCAATCTGCAATACCACGCAAAAGAATTAAACCATATATATATATATACATATACATATAGACAAAACTATGTAAGAAATAAAGTCATCTGTGCCGAATAAAAATATTAGTTCTTCCAAATTTGTACCATAGATAAGGTTCATCTTCTCCGAGAGATACTTTCATCTTCCATCTTTATTACATACTCTTCCACGCTATTAACAATTTCATTTACAGAAGTCAAGTTCTGCTCTGCAGACTTGCAGTCTTTTCTATTTTCACAAGCAGAAAGTATTCGCTCGGCAATTGCAATTGGTGTTCCAAGTTTGAGCTTCATTCTCTCATTCCCCTACTAGTTGATCCATCTAAAAAAACTGTACAAGAAGTTTTCAAGCTTGTAAAAGCTACTGGTTCTCCAATTTGAATCAGTGACTGCTAGTTCTCTATATGTTTTCCCAACACCAGAAGTTGCAGAAAGCTTTTCTTCAAGAACAGATCATGCAGCCACGGGATATAATGCCACATGTTCTGTGTTTAGCAACTTTTGTGTATCATCTTTGATGAATGAAATTGCTTCCTCTAGCTGCAATCAACAAAGATAATGTATATAAGACCTGAAAGGTGGCATAGTAGGTCAATCTAAACGAGTTAACTTAAAAGTATCATCAATAATTGCTGAGAGGTAAGAACTAAACCTCATGCACATTCCGATAAAGATCAGCTTTGTTCAACACAAACACGACTTTCTTCTTCCATTGCTGCAATATAACGAAGAAAAGTAACCTGGAAAAAAGAAAGAAAGAGCACATGCAAGTGGAATTCAGCTCACAAAAATTATGAAGCCAAATGGAAAGCATTTATGGGTAGGGTAACATTTACCAAAGAAGTATTTATATCCGTAAGCCATTATTCAGTTATATCTCAACTAACCTTATAGTATTAAGTATAGTGATTCTAGGCAACAGCAGCATCGATTACATAAGTCAGCACCCTCAGGGTTTTAACTTATTACCCACATAACGAGCACTAGTCTTACCTCACTCTCAGTTAGTGGGCGATCTGCAGAAATAACAAAAGGGAGCAAATCGCAAAGAGGTACAAATTCCTCTGTCAGGCGCTGTTGCCTTTGAAGAATCACGTTTTTCCCTGGTGTATCAACAATATTCATCTGCTTGCAAGAGGAATTATTAAAAATTAGTCATGAAAAAAAATATGATGGCATTGAGACCTATTTCCAAGAAAAGAGGAAAAAAAAGACACGAGGAAAGCAGGCAACAGTTATCAGCTACCTACATTGTGTCTTCTTTCACCTAACTTTTCAATTTATCAATCTTCGCTGTCATTGATTTTCATCTGTTATGTTCTCTGATCTTCAGCACAGATCTCAAATTTTCATTTGTTTTATGGGTTGCAAGCTCACTTCTAAGCACCTAGTATTATGAAAATTGTGCCTAATTATTCTCTATCATGTTTAATCACAATAGCACGTCATATCAAAGAATCATGTACACTCCATCAAAACAGGTTCTAGAACTTTTAACACAGAAGTACGATGCGGAAAAGCCAAAAGGACTCACTTCTTTAACGATTGGAGCAGGAAGATAACATATTAGTTGACCATCTGGGTGTCTTTCACAACGCTGCATGTCCTTGCCATCCAACAAATAGCGCAAGAAACTGATTTCATTAGTCGTAGGAATAACCCCCCTGGGTGAGGTATCTTTCCCCAAGAAGAGCATTAATGACAGTGGATTTACCAGAATTGAACTCACCCTGAGAAACCAATATATAACATATCATATTATATATATGAATAAGTCATGAGAAAGCAACAGCATTAGGCAAAATTCTTATGCATGAACAAACCAACGATTTCCATACAATGGTTAATTTCTCATTGCAGATCATTTTTCTTTTCATTGATCAATATAATGTCAATATCATAGAGATTGAAAATATTGTTGAACGATCTTTAAGATTATGATAAGGGAACAATCATAACAAAACAGTAAGAAAGATAAACCAAAACACAAATACTCTAACACGAGTTACAAGTAATCAACTGATTCAAATAAAAAAATACTAATAGAAGATTCTAAGACGACTGAGTAGAGACATCCCATCAAATATGATCGAGAAGTAAGATTATGGGTTTATCATTAAAACTGCAAATCGAAAATAACTGAATAAGAACGAAATTCCAGTACTCGACACAGAAAGGTAACTTGTAACAAGAAAAGCCAGGGTAATGAACTAATGTATAGAGGGGAAAATACGATGGTCATCAGAAGTGAGACATAATCATAGCAGAAAAGGAACACAAAGTTAACATAGCTGATTCCTAGTAGTCATGTGCATTTCCATTTAATCTAACAACCAACATGATACGGACACGTTTCCTGAAGCTACTGTGAGAACTAATGAGATTTATGAGGTCGCATACGATGAACCAAGACTGAAGACATAAGCTTAAGCATCACTTCATTTTATATTTCCCTAAATCAAAAGTGAATAGAAGATAAATAGTTATTCTATGGGTATATGTTTTCAAATAAAGAGATAGGCATTCATTTGAAATTTAGAGCTAATACCAATGTAATCCCAGCAACCAGAGTTTGTTGAATTTCAGCACACAATTACCACTATAGCCAGTAGAAACGGCTCATCGATTTGAGCAACAGCATCGATAAGAAGTGAAATCTCCTCCATCTGTCGTTTAAAACACACACACAGATTCAACCAAAAGAGTAAACAACTAAATATAATTGATAATCTCATAACCATTATGGAAAATAACTTCAACTTCCAAAGCTTAATTAAAAGATCACCAGAGGTGCAGCTTTCCAGAAGACATTTATGGCTTCAGTTAACACTGATCTCTCCTCCTCCATAAGTTGTTTCACTCTATCCTCCACGTTAATAAAATCCGCCTAGCTTGTTTTCTGGTGAGAGTCATGAACGATATCTGCCGGCTTTAGTTCATTGAAGCTCTCATCCTGAGGTTTGTTATTATCAAAAAACTTGCTCAGAACATCATCGGTAAACAACCTCAAATCTTCCAATGACAAAAGTACACCAATAGCACCTGATTTAAGAATCTTCGACAACTCGGTATACGACGGCACCTCTGCTTGCGAACTATTATTAACAATAAAGATCGGTATCTTCACATTCTCATAAACAGACTTCATTGTCATATCCGGATGCTCTTCTTGACACAAATCATAAATAAGAAAATCAGCACCTTCAGAACTTGAAACATTTAAAGCAGCATCTGAAGATTGCACGGTCCTAGCTACCAATGGTAGAAAGACATAATCCAATTTCGAATCCATCATCGTGTTTCTTGTCACAATGGCAGGAAGGCCTGTAAAAGAAACAAATACAACGATGTGAGACAAAAATATCTATGCATTTGTGAGGTGAGTGACAATTTCAACAGCATGAATGTCGATTTCATTACTTTAGACTCTGAGTTCAACTTAAATAGTCTAACGACATTGAATAAGCAAACTTTAGAAGAAGAAAAACGAAAGAAAAGGCAGAACCCACCGTGATCGGATAGGGCCACGCCACTAGCACCAACGGCGGCGGCAATGTCAACACGCTCCGAGATCAAAAGATAAGCCCGGTCTTTAACAACCGCTTTCAAAGAACGGGCAGCTTCATAAACCGTGCCACCACTTCCTTCGCCACCATTGAGCACTAAAAGACCAACCCATTTCGAGACGGCCTTGTCAATGAAAGCCAGTGCATTGGCGTCGGATAAGACATCGTCGGGGTCCAACTGGAGAACAAAATTAGGTACCTTGATCTCGGGACGCTTGTAGCCGCCAGGGAATAGAGTTATAGGACGTTGCTGGTTCTTAGGGCCTTGGGGACCAAGTTGTTGTAAGCTGAAAGAGTTGTTGGAAAGGGAGGACTTCGTCGGAGGAAGAAAACGGCGGAAAGGGGATTTAGTATAGCGAGAAAAGAAAGGAGGAGATGGGCTGAAATGGAAAAGAGCGGCGGAGGGAGAGGCTGGGAACCGAATGGAAAGGAAAGGGGTCATCGAAAAAGGAAAAGATGAAACTTTTTGTGGACCAAGTAATTTGGTTAACTGAGAAGAGAATTGTTATGTTTATCTTCTTATCCCTTGGAGAATTTGAGAGGCGATAGTTACGAGTGATATGGAAGAACCCAACTCCGATTTGCTAAACATAAAAATCTAAAAGATAAGCAAATCCAACGGTTCAATGGTCGAGGAAGTTCACTGTCTTTCCTTTTTTTGGGTGCTTTTGAAAGAAAAAAAATAAAACTTGGGTGGGAGACCACTTGGCTCAATTCAAAAGCATGAAGATCCCACCGCCATGGGCAAAAGTTGAAATTTTTAGTACTTTTTGAAGGTGTTTTCTTCATCTTTTTAATATCTTTTTTGGTTAGTGTTTCTATAAACAGTGTTTTCTTCAATGGAGGATTGGTGCTGAGGCAAAAACTACAGCTTTGTGCTCTGCTATGAAATATATTCATCAAATAACTTGTACAGATTGAAAACATTGTTTTCTTCTCAAATGCAATGGTGAGATCTAGATATTATTTGAGATTAAAGAAAATTGATAAATATCTCCCACCGTGATTGATGGAAGTGGAAGCAAAATAACAAAATCATTGATTAATTCTCATGCGAGAGATCCTAATGATGTTCTTCATCAAAGTGTTCATCAAGAGATGTGGATAAACCAAGTATATCAGTTCGAGTAACTCTCTTATCGCCATCATCGTCTCCATTGATTTCCTCTTCTGCAATGGGAGATGAAAAATCCAAGCACATTCCTCTTAACACTTGTTCATATGATGCAGACAGATCTTGGGAAGTCATTTGATGGTACTCGACGAGCTGGTGAAGACACTGGTTTTCTCTCACCAGATTAGCATTCTCATTCGCTAGTCTTGATTTCTCTGCAAGCAGTGCTTCCAATTGAAGCCTCACAAGATCATCTTCCTCGGGTCGGATCCCCTTGGTGAACCCATCACGGAGCCTCCTATTCTCTTCCTCCAGCAAACCGCAACGCTCTTGCATGAAACATAAATCATTCTTTATGGACTTCAACTCTCTGGCGAGTGAAGCTGCCTTGGTTGCCATGGAGATCGCAAGCTGTAAGATGGAAACAACAAAGGGTTGAAAAATTTGAGAGCTTGGTTTATCAACAAGTAAAAAGGAAAGGAAGAAAGTTTACATTTTTGGCTTTCTTCATCAGCTTGCTGTTTTTAGGGCTTTTCTCATTATCCTTCTGTGAATCATTATCATCTGAGCTCTCACTGTGATCAAATTTCCTCTTCACACCGATCTTACTCTCTTCTTCAAGTCCTTTTGGCTTCGGGTCTTCCTCTTTTGGCTCTGAATTCTTGAGGTTACTTTGAAATATATCGGTCAATGTTGGAGGTTTAGCTAGCTCTCTAGCTCCCTTTAATAAACAAAGCAAAAGCTTCAGCAAGTTTACAAATTCGAGCTAATGCTAAAGGGCTTTTTTTGCTTTAAATTACCTGAAGAGCATTGTCGAGATTATTAGATAGCTGAGACAGGGTTTGTGAGATGGAATCAAAGCCTTTAAGCAAAAGCAATGAATCTTCTTTCAAACGCTTAGCTCTGTTGGATTCTCTTGAATTCTGCAACAAAAAAGAAAAATTAGAGCAGATTTTTCATAGCAAGAGCTTCCGAGAGATGGAAAATATAAAGAAAACTAACGTTTCGGTCGGCGATGAGTGCATCGACGCGGCCACGGAGGGTGCTCCAGATACGCTCGTGGGAAGCAGGGCTGAAGAGTGGAGATGAAGAAGAAGAAGAAGCCATTAAAGTCGTAGGCTCCTGCAAATGCATTCAAATTCCAAAACCAAATAAAATTATACAATAGAAGAAATAGAGAGAGAAACAAGAACAGCCCATTAAATCTCAGATAAAAGAAAAGCGAACCTTGGGAAGAGGAGGAGGAGATGGAGCAGAAGCAACCATGGCTATGGGGAGGAAAGCAAAACGAAGCAGAGGAAGAAGGGAGAAAAAGCAAAGGGGTAACGGCTAATTTTGATGCTGGGAATTTAAAAGAGAGTGCGGCGATAGGAGCTAACGTTCATAAATCTAATATCAAAGGAAAAAATAAATGGAATCTTGAATTAAACAGAATTATGATCTACTCAATTTAAAAGTAATAAATAATTGGGTAAAGTACACAAATGGTCCCCTGGCTATAGGATGTTTCTTTGTTGAGTCCTTTAATTATTGAAAGTTAAAAAATGATCTCCTAACTATTTATATGTTCCAAGCTCGTCCTACTCGTCGAGTCGTTGTTTGAAAGCAACGGCGATGCCACTAGACGCCTTTAAAATATGGTTTTATCATATCTCAATCGGCAAGTTAACATCCAGCTCAGACCGCTGTTAATTTTTCTAGTAGAAAAGGACAAGTTTAGAACATATGAATAGTTAAGCAACGGTTTTGTAACATTTAATAATCGAGGTACTAAACACATCATAAATTAATATATTATAACTTTTTATCGGAAAAAGACAAGTTTAGAACGTATTAATAATTTATTTTTAGTCATTTCATTACTTAATTTATAATATGTTTATTTGCATTTATAAAACTAAACACATCATAAATTAACAAAAAAAAATTTGTTTTATCAACATAATTGAAAAAAAAAACATGTTAGAATTGAATTTTATTTTCTTGTTTTTATGGATATGATCAGATCCTGGGGAATTCTTAACTTCCACCATCCCTCCAACTTTATTGCTTTCCTAAGACTAAATTGTTTAATTAAGAATTATATTTTTTATGCAAATAAAAGACGCAAAAGTAAAGGGGAAACTAGGGTAAGCAATTCATAATAATAATTAGAGAAAATAACCTCAGTGACCAAAAATCCCATATAATATACGATTTTAACCAATTTTTTCCGGATTTGCCAAAATGACCAACAAAATCGCAATGCGATCGCTAATTCGCAACGCGATCTCTAATTCGCAACGCGATCTCCATTATCGCAAATTCGCGTTGCATTTTCGCAATGCGATAGTTGAAAATCGCGTTGCGATGGTCTACAGTATCGTTGCGATTTTCCCAATTCGCAATGCGAATAAGTAAATCGCAACGCGAATTGGGAAATTCGCAATGCGAATAAGTAAATCGCAACGCGAATTGGGAAAATCGCAATGCGATAATGACTATCGCAATGCGATAATAAAAAATCGCAACGAGATACTTACTTTCGCAACGCGATACTGACTTTCGCAACGCGATTTACTTAGCGCCATTCGTATTAACGCGTATTTTTTTTTCAAATTCCAAACACGTATTTTTTCTTAATAAATCGGAAAATGAACCGTCCACAGTAATCGCACGCAACTCATAACCTCAAACCCAAAAACACAACACTCAGTCCCATCTCCATCTCTCACTCTCTACGGCGAAATCCGTCCCCATCTCCGAAGATTTCCGTCCCCATCGCCGGCGAAATCCCTCACAACCATTCACAGTCAAAAATCCCTCACAATCATTCAGAAATGGAAAATCAACCTCCGAGGGTTAGTTTTTTTTATTTTTATTTTGAAATTTTTGCATTATTTTAGGTTTTTCATATTGATTGATGATAAGTTTACTGGTAATTTCAATAATAGATTAACCATTTCACTTAGATTTCTTATTAAATTCATTCGATTGCTGCCAATACTGCTAAACTGTTTAGCCTGTGAAGTTAGTATTTGTCTTTGCTTTGTCTTTTGGTTGAAGTAATGCAGAAGAAGAATAGTTTCGAGAATGAGAATCGCAACGCGGAAATGACTATCGCAACGAGATAATCGCAACGCGAAATAAAATCGCAACGCGAAACCAAAATCGCATTGCGATTTTCATTTCGCATTGCGATTTTCATTTCGCGTTGCGATTTTAATTTCGCGGTTGCGATTTTCATTTCGCGTTGCGATTGTTGGTCGCGATAGTCATTTCGCGTTGCGATTCTCTCGTTGCGATAGTCATTCCGCGTTGCGATTCTCATTATCTCGTTGCGATTTTCATTTCAACCAAAGACAGAAACAGTGTTGCAAATTTTAGTTTCAAGAATAAACTACTATTTATGTTTATTGTTTTGTTTTTGGTATATCTTGACAGTGTAATTTTTGGTATATCTAACTTGGTATGTTTATTGTTTTTTTGTAGAAATTTTTTTCGGCTTCATTGACATTAAGGAATAAAGTTAGCCTAGCCACTACAATTGCTTCGAAGCTTTCACCTGCACAAAGAAAATTGTTTGAAGAAAACCTGCTTCGGGCCATGGCGGAGAGTACAGCATCCAGGTGGAGATGCTAGTTTGACCCATTTGTGGCTTCAGACCATGACTAGCGATCTACCTGACAGTATACAACGTGGTGAGGAAGAGATATGGTTTCATTTTCCACCGGCGTATACTTGTTTTGGGCGGAAGGAGTTCTGCTTAATCACTGGTCTACGATTCGGGACACGATGATGTAGCCGGTACACTCGTCATACACCCGCCCATCATGATTATCCAGGGTTTTTCTGATGAGTCAATAGAGAAGCCGAACTTACACGTCGACGACATAAGAAATTATTTAATAAGAAAGATGGTTTTACTCGGATGAATGACGTCGATGTTGTTGTCGAGTATGCCTTCTACTTTTGTATGCCGGCTTTCTAGGCAGAGAGGCCAGACAACCTATTCCTCAGGAGCTAATATTATTGGTAGAGGACTTAAATGCATGGAATCTGTTTCCGTGGGGTTCGTATATATGGAAAAGCTACCTGGACTAAGTTGTCGTCTGCCTTGATGACCGCAAAAGTTTGCGGGGCGATGGGTCGAATACACTTTGTCAGGCTTTGTTTGGGCCTTTAAGGTAAGAATTTCTATATAATGTTTTCAAAATTATAATTAATTATTTAACAATTACTAATGTTGTTATTATATTGTTTGTAGATTTGGATTTTCGAGGCTTTCCCCAGCATGCGGACATATGCATTAAAATCCTTAGATGATATTCCTAGGGCTATTTCCTGGAAGAGGAAATGTATGTTGGATTGGGAAGACTTATACCATATGCGACAATAAATAATGTAAGTTAACACAATACTATCATATATAAAACAATTATTAATAGTAGACATTTAACTTGTTTTAGTTTTATATTATTAGGAGGCCAACACTCCATTAATGAGACTGACCACCCACGGAGGCTGAGCTTGCCACTGATTGGTGGCAAGCTAGTCAGCGTTTTTTTTTGATGACACGAATGATGAGCAGCCTCTACTTCCTCCACTTCGAGAGCCATCACCTCACCCCAGAGCCATCACTGATCGACCCGACTATAACCTCTACAACGAGAGCCATCACCTATCCCGTCACATCATCGAGTCTCTTCTCCACCATCACCTCATGATAGGCGACCGACAAAGATGCCACGACTTCTCCCTGTTCTCCACCTCCACGGGATGAGTCAAGGGAGTTACGTGATGAGGTCAATGTCTTGCGTGAGGAGATCGGTACTCTACGCGATAACGATGGTGCATGGCGTGTGAGGTGTCTACTTTACCGTGGTGAGGTTGCCGCTCTACGTGAGATGGTAGTATCGTTGCAGAATGAGGTTCATCTACGCACGAGGTAAGTTTAAGATTTTCCATATTTAATTGATGAAAATTTACTCGTAATTTCACTTAAATTAACCATTTCACTTAGATTGCTTGGTAAATTTATTCGGTTGCTGCCAAAACTGCTAAACTTTTTACTTTAACACTGTGAAGTTAGTATTTGTCTTTGTTTTGTCTTTTGGTTGAAAGTTTGAAATATATTTATCTTTGTTTTCACTGTTTAAATATCATGTCTGTTTATTTACTGATATTTTTATTTTTATTTAGGACCGATAAGGTGGATGCTTTACGTCGGGTTTTTCTTGCACGACAGAGTTCACGCATCAGACAGCGTGCACGTGCTATTAAGTCTCCGTATACCCCAATAGTGCGAAGACACCGCAAGAAGAAGCCCGACTCGCCTATCATCCCTCAAGAGTCCACTCCTATCGTTGAAGAGGCCCCTATCATTCCTCGAGAGTCCCCTCCCACCGTTCAAGAGGCCACTGTCATCGTTGAAGAGGTCCCTCCCACCATTCAAGAGCCCGATTCACATGGCGTCATATGTAGGATTCTTGAGAAACCCTCTGACGTGCCGGACATGATGGATTCAAGTTGGCTCTCGTATGAGTTACCGGCCAGTACCATACCGGTATCTGAAGAGGAGATGAAACAACTACCGGACACAATTCTGGATAACACCCTTTGGGCTAAGACCGCAGTTGATTTTTATCTACACGAGCGAAGCCAGGGGTGTTTCACTGACATATGCAAGCTCAATGATGATATCTATTTGTTGCTTGATCGGTCTTGGTGGGGCGTATTATTAGGGGTCGAAGACAATGGCTATTTCGATGGAGGGGTAAGTCTTATATTTTCTTATATTTTCATTTGATTAATTTGTTTAAAAATTAATATAATTCACTAATATATGTATTTTTTTGTAAAACAGCATATCGATGCGTGGGTGTCACGTCTACTAATAATTAGGAAACTTAAGGAAAATAAAAGAAATACACGGTATACAATAATGCCGACGGCTTTTAACGCAGTTCACTTGAAGAATCAACGAGATGAATCATTTGCGTTGGGCAATGGACAAGCTAAACTTTATCCTGCATGGTGGGAGGTCGATAAGGTTAGTGTTTATTTTAGATTGAGTTTAAAGGTATTCATAAATAAGTGCGCAAATGAATGAATTATTACTTATGATTGCAGGTGTTTATCCCTGTTTTGGAACGTAACCATTGGCTTCTCGTCGAGCTTCAGATCCCATCCCTTAAGGCAATAGTATATGACAGCATGATAAATTACATATCATTGGCTGATTTAAGAGATATTATTAAGGGATGGAGCTCTTATTTGGCTAAATACTTGGATGCGATAAATTATTGGACTCGTTCTGGAAACAAGAAG